ATATAGACCAGGCAGTTACCAATCTTGACCGTAGACCTTGGTTAGGCCAACCTAACCGGTGGGGCTCGTAAACTCATTTAAGCAGGTGGCCGTTAAAGGGTTGTGAGGAGCCTCGTTGTTTAAGGATTACTGTAGAGTTTAGTAGCTGGCCAGGATTGGTGTTCTTGTAATTCATTCCTGAGCCCTATTCGGAAGTGATCTTGTACCTCCTTATTGGGGATAGAATATGTAATCTATTTTAACACCTTATTAATGGGTTTACAATTAATTACTAGTCTAGGAACTCCTCGTTCCTGCTCAGCATGCTTATTTACATAAAAAGCAGTACAAGACCATTTGGATCTTGAGAGTCTAATTAAACCCTTTTGTTGTAAGGAATCAATTTCCTTTTTGCATAACTCTAAATATTCAGAGTTCATTTGACAAGGTCGAGCCTTGGTAGGGATATTATCCTTAGAAAAGTCTTCTTCATATGGAAGACTTATAATTTGCTTTTTTCTACTCCAAAATTGATTCAGATGGTCACCGCAAATAGAAGTAGAAAATTGGTTTTTGAGAAAATTGATTTTTTCTGCTAACTTGGGATTTTTTAAATCCTGGTCAATCGTAATGGAACAAATTTCATTTTTCAAAAACTCAATTTGATTGACTTTTGAAGAAATATTATTAGAAATAATCTCATTTAAAAATCTTTGGACAGGCTCAGTTATAAACTCAAAAGTGATACTCTTACCATTGTAAGTATCAGTGAAACTTTTTGTATCCCAATATAAAAAGGGCATTAATTTGATGAAAAATGGGACACTAAGTATTACTTCTTGTTGAATGTCTTTACCAAAACAAAACTCTCAGGAATGCATGTGTCTTGTTGGCAAATATAAGCTCTAGGTAATTTATATGAAATACCCATTGCACCACCACTAGCATTTTTTAAACGGTGAGTGGTTTTATGAAAATATCTGGAGGGTATAACTCCTTCTTTTACACATTCCACACTATAAAATAGAGCAACAAACTCTTTTTTGAAATTGTAGTCAATTAAAAGAGTTATTTTTATTAAAAACTTTTGAGTGATAAAATATTGTAATTTTTCTAATTCATCTTCAGGAAAATCCATTACTGCCAATAAAGTACTAGCAGTATTTTCTTCTGAAGGACTAGCAATATTATCTATCTCAGTAGTCTTAATGTTGGTATCTGTATTAATTACCCCAAAATTTTCTAATTTGAAAATCCTTTCATCTAAAGCTACATTTGAAGCTTTTAATTCTGAGATTTCTTTCTTGAGATAACTTATCTCAGTACTTAAATCATAGAAAGTAGCAAGCCTTATAGGCTGGGACTTATTTTTCACTATTTTTTCTGATTTCAGACATGGTGTGAGGTCCTTTTTGAGATGGAATTTCTTCCACCTCTATTCCTGTTTCTGGATTCGTAAGACTTTTATCTATTAGTTGGAACCTTAGTTCAGGGTCTTTAATAACCCTTAGTAGATCAATCAAATTGTCATTAGACAGAACATTGATCTTTAAGTCCCTAAATTGGGAGTAGATATTAAAAAGTTCATTGTCAGTATTACAACAATGATTTGAGCATTGTCCCTTATTACAGGAATTTTGCTCTTCTTCAGAAGATGAAGTATAACTTTCTTCATTAAGGACCCTTAGGTCTTCACTTGTTGATGAAGATCCTTCATCAGTATCAAATATTTCTGGAGAAGAATTCAAAAGAATCTTACATAAAGAATCTTTGATATGATCATCTAAATCCAGTTCTTTGATCTTATCTTTGATCTTGCAATCTTTTGCATAATGGCCTACTCTTCTACATTTATAACAGGTCTGAGGGTTTTTAGATTTAATAAAACCCTTTCTGGCTTTATGAAAAGCCTTTCTTCTTTGGGTTTTTTCATGTCGTTTCTCCGGCGAACCCTTCTTCTTCTTGAAATCCTTTTTATGGGATTTCTTTCTTTTGGATGGTATATCAATGGCGAATTGTTCACAGAATTCACCTAGTTGTTGTCTCTCTATGAGACGATGTTTCTTAATTTGTTGGTTTAGCTTGATCTCATTACACAAAGCTAAACCTTCCTGAGTGCATACACTAAATAGCTTACCATATGAGTAATTATTATAATTAATACTCATTTTTGTGCCTCTAAGGACTTTTCGAATCCTTTCAGCAAATAAGGGTAGGAGTCCATCTATGAATTTAGACTTCCAATGAGTACTATTACTCTCTGGTAATTTCATCACTCTGGATAAGAAAACATCTTTATACCATCTAAAAGATGTGAGGGTTTTACACCTCAAATTCTGGAGCATTGTTCTAATGGTCTCACTATTATCAGACCATCTTCTACAAAAGTGTTCAATGATATTCATGACTAAAGAATAGACTGAGTTTTGAACAGTCTTATCATCTTCAGTCTTGGTTGCATTCATTATTTGAAAGCGCTAGTCATGGGTGATATAATTATCCCACCAGCCTTTCAGTTGACCAGTAAATCCAACAATAATCATTTCTGCTATTGCTCTATCTGTATTTTTATTAACTTTACAGATAGTACTATACATAAGCATTCTATGTACTGTCGTATAGATTTGTCTTTCAGCAAGATCATCTATGTTCCATTCATAGATATCTGACCCACTGCAACCTTGGTGGTAGTGGTCATTGTCCTGTTCCTCTATTAGGACATCTTGAGGAGTTGGTCTTGGATAGTAAAACATTCTTTGGTATGGTTTCCGAGCATACTTTTCAGAGATTTTATTAATCTCATCATCTATTCTCAGATTGCTGGTAGATGCATGCTCTAAACTTAGTGGACTAACTCTAAATTCACCTAACTTCTTAGCAAGAAGTTCTTCAATATTTTCTAGACTTACGTCATCCAGACTTTTCAATTTAAGGTCTTTTACCTCAGGAGGTGGTTGGATACTAGTAGTAGCGATCTTCTCTTTACCTTTAGTATCCTTTTGTTGGATTTTTTGGACTTCAGCTATAAGCTTGTCCAATTTATCATGGATCTTAATAACCCGTTCACCCAGAATACTTACATACATGTTAGTATGATTGTTCTGAGTAGACATAGTATTCAAGTTTTTTGCAATTATTGCAGCAACAACATTTTTAAATATTTTTGAAAAAGCAGCGCAGTAAATAATTTTATCCTTTTCCCCTATATGAAAAGATTGTTGGGGTGGAAAAATAGATTTGACAATATTTCCATTTGTGAGCGTATAATCTCTTTCTAACATAGAGATATAGTTATAAACATGCTTAGACATAAACCATGGAACAAAAGCAATAATTCTATTTTTCTTGCTAATGTTTGTATAAAAGTCATGTCTAAAAAATTGTACCAATTCAGGAGTCATGTTTTCATGAAACCATTTTCTGAAAACAGTCCATGTGGGTTTTAAAAATTCTTCTAAAATCATTTTTCTTGCCGGTGAACCTGGACTAGAATCTATTTGGTTTTCAACCATTATTAATACCATTTGAAAAATCTATTTCGGATGCAGTGGGTTCAAGATCTGTATTAATCTTGATGATATTATCACTACTAATGCTAATATCATTTATTCTATTGCTTTCTCTAATTTGAGATATGGATGCTCTAGATGGAAAGTCTACCACATAATCAATTGGAGAAATGTATGAAGAAATTGATCTAGTCAACCTAGATGATAAACTAATATTATCAGTTTGTACTGGTTCATTGAACCTGATTTTTATAGTGTCATCTGAGGTTTGTTCTATTTCTGTAATCTCAGTATTACCAGTGTTTTGAGGTGCAACAACTTCCTCTATGACCCATTCTTTAGGGAAATCAATTTCATCCCATTTAATAGGTCTTCTAGTAGTTACTTTGGATTTACCAAAGTTGGTTTCTATAAGAATAGTTTCATTTTTGAAGTCCATGATTTTGCACATAGGATTCAAAGTATACAATGGTTTATAATAAATCCTATAGCAGATACATATAACTTCTGTACCAGGCAAATAGTCATAACCATGTAATTTAATGCTAAGTATTAAAGCATTTAAGAAATTCTCATCATTAAGAGAAATTTGCAAATTGGGGTAAGCATTAAAGTAAACCGGGCCATAAGCCAAACTGGTTTGCACAGTCCCTATAAGAGACTTTTTCCAGTTTTGATTTCTGCCATCTCTGAGAGCTGCTATAAAACGTTCAGGTAAGCCTCTTAAACTAAGTGGCTTAAAGGCGACTTATATTAAGCCTACGTGTATAAATCTATGTGAATCCCTATAAGGGGCTAGATCACTTTCAGATAATAATCTGAACGTAGCATGATCACTATCTACGGTGATCGTCTCTTCAGTAGTTTTAACTACTTGTTTTAAACCTATCCTTTCGAATGTTCCTAACCGGTATACTACCTTAGGCTTGACTAATGGTATAGTCCACTTATTAAGCAGATCTAATTGTTGAGGCAATTCATATTCTTCTTTTCTATTGTTTTTAACAGTAGTCTTTTTCCTAATGATATTCATTAAGAAAATAGTGTTAAACTTAGCTTCTAAGGTTTTCCACTAACATGGCTCTGATACCAAGGGGGTACAGGATCACTTCCGAATAGGGCTCAGGAATGAATTACAAGAACACCAGTCCTAGCCAGCTACTAAACTCTACAGTAATCCTTAAACCACGAGGCTCCTCACAACCCTTCAACGGCCACCTGCCTAAACGGGTTTATGAGCCCCACCGGTTAGGTTGGCCTAACCAAGGTCTACTATCAAGATGGTAACTGCCTGGTCTATATAGTTCTTAACCCAAAACCCCATTGGGTTGACACAGTAAACTCCTTACTACCAAGCATGCATAGTAAATAACCTTCGAAAACCAAGTTTAACACTATTTATGTATATATATATATACACACTATTTTAAAAGTGAGAAGCTCTAAACAAGAAAATTGAAAGACTAAAATACCCTTTTAGTAATGTACTTTTTTATTTAATATTAAAAAGAATTAAATAAAACACTAAATAATATTGGTAAAAGGTGTCATCCTTTTCTAAGGATGCACCTTTCATAGAAAGGGGTGTTAGTTATTTTTTTCACTCCTTACAAATATTAAATCATTGTGTAATTTTCAGCATTCTGAAACAATTCCAACGTCAAAAGAGTTTACGGCACTTGAGAAATTTCAGCACTAGAAATTCTAGCACTTGAAAAATTCTAATAGAATGAACAAGTTTGGAACAATCATATCTGTTCCAACCACTCTACAACACCTATGATGAACCCTCGTTAGGTAAATCATTGACGAGAAGAGCCTTGTGTAATTATAACCGGAGATAGACGAATATAGCATTACATGTGATTGCTATCGGTCTTGCTATAAGCACTCAAGAAGCAAGAAGTCAGGAACTACCATTTTCGGTGTTTGCAGTTGGACTTGAAAAACATGTCCACGCTAAAGCTCGGCTGAAAAAATTTACACTGAAGTTTATCCAATCAAAGAGTTTTTTTTTTCAGTCGAAGAGACTCAATTAAGCAAGATATTCTTCGAACCATTATTAGTTTATTTAAGCAGAAGAATACCATTTAATTGCAAATTATTTTATAAACGTATCAATTTATTTTGCAAGGTACATATTACATATTCAATAAAACTTTATTAAGTAACCTAGATTGTTCTGGTGTAAAATAGTATGGTTAAAATTTTATTTTAACTTTCCAATACTATTTAAAATAATACATGCAACTCGATTTTTTCTCTCAGAATTTTACCGAGATATAAGTCTGGGTGGTGTTGTATTCCAAAAAAAAATGCAATGAAAGGGGTTGAACCTTACTTTAGAGGCTTAGACATAATACAACATTATGTTTCCATCATCCAAAAACAACAGGAGGAGGCATAAAATATTATATGTCCTCCTTCCGGATAAAAATAAATAAATAATAATATGTAGCCTTATCAGTAAATGTGTGATGATTTTAATCCAAGAGTGATAGATATTACTTTCAATATATTAATCATAAAATAATTATATATATATATATATATATATATATATATATATTATTTTTTAAAAGAGATATATTGAAAAATATAATTTACGATGTATTTTAATTTATTATTTTATATTTGTTAACGTAACTATAACAGGTGAAATTTTAAATCTACCATATCATGTTATCATAATTGTGATATTCCTCATATTAAAAATACAGTTCTGTCTTCTTAGAGCTATGAAGGCTTGTGATATTAAACCTAGAATTTTCAGGTTCACTAAAAAGAAGTAAATACTATATGTGGAAGGGGTGAAATACTAATATCAGTGTGAATACAAGTCAAAATATTATTTTACTCTTGTAAAATCGTGTTTTAATATTTTTTTTGTATGAGTTTCTTCTTCTATTAAGTCAGCTTTATTTTCAAGATGGTACACTTTTTTCTTTAATTAATTATTTTCTCAAACATATTTTTAATAACATTTATGTAATTCTTTAAAAATATTTATATTATATTAATAAGCGGTATACGCGTAACGCGCATACAGAGAGACTAGTATATATATATATAAAATAATACATACATATTATATTTTGGGGACTAATTGGATAACCCTCCAAGTTAATATTAGTCTTAGTAATTAAATATGACTATACATATTGTATCGTGACATACCGATAATTTGATTGCTTTCCCTTTCTCGCTTTCTCCTTTTCCTCTTTCCATCATTGTAATTTTCCTTCCCTTCCGTTCAATTTCTCAAGATCTGATGTATAAAGTATACATAATACCTAATCAGGAGAAAGAAGAAGAAGAAGAAGGAGTAATAATACAAAGGATCTAATGAAATTAAAGAAGCATAAAAAAGTCATAGCAGGAAACATTTTTGCAGCTATAACCATACATAAAAATTCAGTTAAATAAACTTCCTTTAGCTGATCAAGACTAAGATCATGGTTGGCTATCCTTTTTAATAGATATTGAAGATGAACAATCTGAGATATACGGCTTGAGAATGAGGCAAGAGAGAGTATGGAATGGTTGCTCCTCTTGTTTTTGTGTATGTATAATGTATGAATTCTCCCATTTTCAACAAACCAACTACTTGAGATAAGAAGTTGAAAATTCGTGTGAAGAGGTAAGGGGACCAGATCCTTGATTTTAGGTAGAAATTAGAAAATGACAAAAATATGGTTGGATGCCAATTTTGAAATAGTCTGTGTTATATTTTCTAATTTTCTCATGTTTGGTTAGCTTAAATGTTTTGGAAAACATTTTCCTCATGAATTCATTTTTTTTCAATTCGAGGAAAATGTTTTCCCTATCAAGAGAAGAAAAAATATTTTCCAAAACTATTTTTCAACCTTCCCCACCCTATTCCTCATCCCCACCAACAACCACCAATCCACACCCATACCCCCACCCACCTACCCTACCCCTGCTCCCCAATATCCGCCCTAAATAAAAATATTATTAATAGTATTTTCTTTTCATGTTATAAACATAATACTTTCTTTTTTATTTCAACAAATGAGTATTTTCTTTTTATGATGTAGGAAAAGTATTTTCTTTCGTTTTAACAAAATGACATAGTAAAAAGTATTTTCTTTTCGTGATGTAGAAAAAATATTTTCTTTTATTTAAATAAAATGAGTATTTTATTCTCATGTTGTAGAAAGAGTACTTTCTTTTTCAACTAAAAAAAGTATTTTCTTTTTAGTTATGGAGCACAAATTTTAACGTTATTTTTTCGTGAAAAAAATAAAGCAACACATTAGTTCCTTTGGCTTTGCATGACTTTTTAGAAGAATAATTTAATTCTTAAAAATAGAATCATGAAAATGCTGAATATTTTGGTGGGGTGGGGGGGGGAGCATAGGTAACATGGGGAGTTGGAGGAAGGGGGTGAGGGGAGCAGCTAAAAAATTATTTTTCCAAAATATATTTTTTTTACTCTCTAATCAAACACTAGTAAATTTTTTTTCAAAAAAAATTCCACCAACCAAACAAGGGAAAATAAGTTATAAGATCACTCATTTTCTGTGAAAACATTTTCCTTCATACCATACATACCCTAAGTTTCTTTAAGTTTGTTAGAAGTGAGCATCATTGATATAAATACTCTTTTATATAGCGGTGTTTGACTTGTCACCAAGTTCAAAAAAGAAAGTAAGACTTTTAAAACTTGTGGTCCAAAATAACTCATAAATATTTATGCGGAAAAGGGTCAGCTTTGCCCATGAACTATTATATTTGGTCTAATATTGCTCTCCATCCACCTATTGGGTTAAATATATCTTTCCCGTTAAGGTTTTGGCTCACACATGCCCATTAAGTTAACATCCCATTTCAAATTAATAATCAAAATTATTTTTAATGACGTGGCATTATCCTATTAGTTAATTTAAAACCCACCCCAAATATGTCAAACCCATCCACGCGTGTGAGCCCGACCTGAAATATGTCTTCACTACCTGGAAGACAGGGATGCACATTCATTTGGTTTACTCAGTTTTGAGTTGATTATTCGTTCAATTTATTAAACCTTCACTAAACAACAATCAGTATTTCTTGTTTTGGTTTTTTGTTTTGTTTTTATCTGTTTGATATTTTCTTCTTTGTTTTTTCCTCTTTATTAGAGCTTTCAATGGGTCGATTCAATTAAATTTGCAAATTCTAATTGTCATATTCTTGAACAAAAAAAATTATTTTATAAGATATTATCGGTAACTTTTAAAAATATTTGGTTAAAGGTTCGTGTAAAAGAATAAGAAAGATTTCATAGATGTTACAGTTTTTTTAGTTTTTGACTTAAACCCGAAACATAACTGAAATATCAGAATTTTTAGAAGAGAAAGTCAACTTGAATCTTCAACTTGAATTTAATAGTTAGATAACTTGAATCCTTCGAAAACCAGTTGCAGCAAGCAGCCATCGCTATCGCCGCATTAGGTTTGGGGGAGTTTCAGTCGTATGAATTTCGGAAATGAGTTGAGGGAGTATCAGTGTATTTGGCCCTATGGGTTAGAGGGTTTAGTGGGTAATCTAGGAGTTATATAGGGTCGGGCTTAAACGGGTGAGTGGGTTGGACATATTTGGGGTGAGTTTTAAATTAAACAGTAGGATAATGCCACATCATTAAAAATAATTTTTTTTAATTTGAAATAGGCTGTTAACTTAAAGGGTATATGTGAGCCAAAACCTTAACGAGAAAGATATATTTAGCCCAATAGGTGAATGGGGGGCAATATTAGACCAAATCTAAGAATTCAGGGCCAAAGCTGACCATTTTCCGATATTTATGTGGTTGTAAATCAATTCAAGGATAAAGTAAAAATATTAAAGACAGATTGATTCTAAATAAGAAAAGATGACATTCTTTTTGAGAATTGATTAAAAAACAAAGAGTCGCACATAAAATAGAACGGAGAGAGTAACAAACTATGGTTGTAAAATTTAACGGGAGCTATTCATATTTTTTTTTTCGGAACCCCAGAAAAACCCGAAGTCGCTACAGCTTCTGTCCTTCGGGTGAGCACTCTGTGGTGAGAGCTTTGTGTGCACCGGGTAAACCCCTACTATGTAATAGCTTGCAAACCACACATGAAATGTAAACCCGCACTAGGCAAACCCTGCGCGACATGCTCAAACCCAGAAGGCATTGTGTGTGGATCGATCCCAAGTCATCACTATGGATAACCCTCTCCTAACCAACTGGTCCATCCCGAAGGACTAACTATTCATAGTTAGAAGTGCAACTTTTAGAATTTCTGCTATTTTGTCCAATATTTTTTATGTGTGGTGCAGTCTTTGGTGCTCCAAAATTTGGAATTTGACAGGACTTTCCTAGTGTTTCTGCTTAAATCTTTTTTTTTTTAGAAACTGCTTAAATCTTCTTTTATCAAAGTTCCCGCTAAATCTAACAAATAGAGTTTTTAAAATATTTTGATAGTGAGCAAACATGCTCAATTTTGGAAAATCTAAAGAAGCAAAACAATTCGGGAATATAAGCATATAACTAGGTTCACAACTCTTCCCATCATGAATTAGCTTTTGTGATCAAAGTCAGACGAGTTCATGATCGAATGATTCACAACTAGTCTCACCTCACCTTAGTGCGACAATTGAGTTGGGCGGTTGAGCAACATTAATAGTGTTGCCGATTCGGGTGTAACACTTAGCAAGAAATAGTGTTGGCCTCATATTAAAGAGGAAAAGAAATTGTAGGTGTACTAATGCTAAAAATGTAACGACCCGGCCGATCGTTTTGAGAGTATTAGCCTCGATCCCCTATTTATTGCTCCTTCTATTTCATTTTGTGGTTATGTGACTTGCCGGGATGAATGGTGTCGGGTTCGGGAAAGTTTCGAAGTGAAATGGGACACATAGTCCCTAAATGGAAAGTTTAAGTTGTATGAATTGACCGTAAGTTGATTTGTGTGAAGACAAGTTTTGATGGTTCTAGTAGCTCTTCTTAGAAGCGTGTCTGGACATTGATTTGGAGGTCCGTAGGTCATTTTGATGCGAGTTGGCAAAAGTTGGAAATTGGTGGAATTTTTGGGAAGTTTAACCGGGAGTGAACTTTTTTTATATTGGGGTAAGATTACAATATTGAAAGTTGGAATGGGTGCGTAATGTGATTCAGGACTTGTGTGCAAAATTTGGTGTCAATCGGAGTTGTTTTAGTATAAATCGGCGTCGGTTCCGAAATTCGAAAGTTTATAAGTTCTTAGGCTTGAATCGATGTGTGAATCGTATTTTTAGCGTAGTTTGATGTGGGTTTTGGCCTCAAGTAGGTCTGTTATGTGTTTTGGAACTAGTTGGTACATTTATACGGGGTCTTGGGGGCCCCGGGTGTGATTTGGATTGAGATCGGATCATATTTTGAACTTGTGCAAATGTTGTAGCTCCTAGTTCTGGTGTCATCGCACCTGTGGTGGGGTTGGCCGCAGGTTTGGATTGCATAAGCGAGCTTTGAGTCATAGATGCGAAGCTGGTCTTGCCCAGCAGTGGTCATAGAAGTGAAAAATTATTCGCAGAAGCGCCTTTGCTTCTGCAATGGCAGGTGCGCAGAAGTGCTAGTGGCCGCAGGTGCGATCCTTTCCCCTGTAGAAGCGGTCCCGCAGATGCGAGCCCTTATCCACAGAAGCAGAAGCCCTGGACTTAGTTTAAACTGCACTTACGATAGTTTTTCCGCAGGTGCGGCACCGCAGAAGCGACCTTAAGGCTACAGATGCGGAAGTCGCTGGGCAGAAAATGGAAAAAAAATAGAGGGTTTGATGTTATTTTCACTTGTGATGACCCGATAGGTCATCAAGAGTTTTAGAATCTAATTCTGTGTTTTGAAGCCTCAAATACCTCATTTTAGCTTTCCTCGAATTACGTGTGCAGTCCGGATATTTTTCCATAAAGCTTTTATGTTAAAAGCTAATATAAAAAGCTAATATTTTTTCGTAAAGCTTTTAAGAAAAAAGCTAATATTTTTCCAGAGTTTCCTGGGTTTGGCGGGTTATTGCCGCCGTTTTGTGGAGGGGTTTCATCCATAGCAGCCCTATTGACCAGATTGACATAGAAGGGTGCCTCGTTCAGATGGTCAGATGAGTGTGAGTTGAGCTTTCAGAAGCTCAAGACTGCTTTGACTACGGCGCTAATGTTGGTGTTGCCCACAGGTTCAAGATCTTACACGGTGTATTGTGATACATATCGTATTGGGCTCAGTGCAGTTTTGATGCAGGATGGCAGGGTGATAGCATATGCATCGCGAAAGTTGAAGGTTCATGAGAAGAATTACCCTATTCATGACTTAAAGCTGGCATCTATTGTTCATGTATTGAAGATGTGGAGGCACTATCTTTACGGTGTGTCGTGCAAGGTATTCATCGATCATTAAAGTCTACACTATTTGTTCAAACAAAAGGATCTCAATTTGAGTTAGAGGATGTGGTTAGAGCTATTGAATGATTATGATATCACCATTGTGTATCATCCCGTGAAGGCCAATGTGGTGGTCGATGCCTTGAATAGAAAGCTAGTGAGTATAGGCATCCTTGCGTAGATTCCAGCCGGCGAGAGACCACTTGCATCAGATGTATAGGCTTTGGCCAATCAGGTCATAAGGTTAGATATTTCAAAGCCCACGTGTTTTAGCTTGTACGG